CCCCCCCGCCTCTTCTTTTGTAATCGTTTTCCAAATTTCCATACCATTTTCATCTTTCTTTTTGTTCTGTTTTGGGAGGCTGGTCACTGTTTTCTGAAACGTTGAAGACTTCCCTAACGTGTTCCCTCGAATAAGATTGCACGGTCCTTGCTCTACCTAGACTGAAAATTGCCCCAAAATAGATCTATGAATCCATGATGGACGTACGTTCTATTCGGTTGAAGGTGGTAGTAGAGGGTACAGAAGGTAGTTTTGTGGTGGCTAAGCTGGGTGGTCAGACATCTACCAAGTTCGTTGTTGAAAATTCTTGGGCAATTATTCATCGTTTTACAACTTTTTCCTTCTCCTTCTCCTTCCCCTTCTCTTTCTGCTTCGTCGTCATCGTCATCGTCATCTTCATCTTCATCTTCATCTTCATCTTCATCTTCTTCTTCTTCTTCTTCTTCTTCTTCTTCTTCTTCTTCTTTGTCAACAAGTTAATGAAGGACTGAAAAACTTCAAGCCTTCCTGGATGCTACAAAGCCAAGTTTTTTGCTTTTTCTTCTTTCCCCAACACGTTAATGAAGGACTGAAGAACTTTAAAGCCTCCCTGTACCATATGATTACTGCTGTGGTTGTGGTCGTTGCGATGGTCGTTGCGATGGTCGATGCAGTGATTGTGGTTGTTGCCAATGATTGTTGCAGTGGTTGTTTCAGTGGTTGCAGCCTATATATATATATGTCACAGGTACCTTGAGGGCAGTGGTTGGTGCCCACCTCAGGGTATCAGTTGTCGGGCAGTCGTTGATGCTTAACCACAACCGGGGTTAAGGTGGATTATCACTTACAGTGTAATCAGTTAGGGGATTCTGAAGGCTGTTGAGGGTTCAACCTCCTGATGAGTCGGTGAAACTCCGACGAAACAGTTTGTCACAGCCCTTTGTTTGTTGTCCTCTTCTCCCTCTCTGCCTGCGGTTTACTAGACAGCTCTGTTTGACGATATATATACGATACACCACGCTTGAATTCTCATTGGTCGTTGTAGCTATTGCGATGTTTGCAGCGACCGCTGATTATTGCAGTGGTCGTTTCAGTGGTTGTCGGAGTGATTGTGCCGGTTGCGATCGTTGTTGCAGTGGTCGTGATCCCTGCAGTTCTATTGTTTGTCGTCAGAAGCGGAGCGGTTGATGATTGGATCGAATTATATTTTTGAGTTGACCAGCTTGCATGACAGTAGTTGGGCGTGTTTGGGTCATTGATTTGTCGTCGTACGATGCTGTTTGACCACGTGATTTTTTGTGCATACAAGTTTAGATCAAATGCTTAAGTAATTGCCAACGATGAAGAAGTCATAGCTCAATTTTGTGCCAGCGGCATGGTTTCTGCACTAATCATATCAGGCGGTTGTTGATAAGCTCTGTTTTTTTTTTTTTTTTTTTTTTTTAGGGGGGGGGAGGACCAGGGGATGTCTATCCTTCACCCCTAGCTTCTGAAACATGATGTTTGACTTGCTTACTTCCTCCCCCCCTCCCTTTATGCCCAGTCGTTGCTCTCGATCCACTAATGGGCACTAAGCATTGACTTTTGGAGCTCTTTTTATATATCTCCTTGTCTCATTTTAACTCCAGTTTCCGTTCTCTCTCTTCCCCCCCCCCCCCCCCTCTCTCCCCCCTCCAATTATCCTTTTCATGGTCTTATCTTTGACGACGAAGAGGGGTGCCGTTTTTATCCCTTTGAAGGTGACATGGAAAGTGATGTGGCAAGTGATCGTGACAAGTGACATGGCGAGGATGCGGCAAGAGACATGGATAGGCACTAACATGGCTACGATGCTGATGTCCTGCGTTTCTGATGATGCAGACGCGAAGAGTAATGTGAACAGCAGCTGATAGTACAGGTGTCTTTCTAATGTGTACGGCATGTTTGGTGCCTGTGCATTCATCCCTCTTTGTATGATCTCATGCTTTATACCCTTTTTCTTGCTGGGTGATGTGTTTGTTCTGTCTGACCGAAGGGATGGAGGGGTGAAGAATATGGCTCAGAGTTAAGCAAGGCATTAGAAAGGTATCTTCAAGGGGGAGCATCTGGAGCAGGTAAGCTTATCTACCTGCAGAACTGCGCACCTCTGGGTTTGTGAGAAGAATGGTGGCGATTGACAGATAGTTGTTATGCGAAATCGTGCACTTGCTGAACCCTGACCTGATCTCTGACACTCAGGTGAAAGAAATAGCAAGATACGGATGAACCTGAGCATATAAGTGGGCCGGATGGGTTCGTTAAGGCTGATCGTTGAACGATGAGTTTTGCAGGCCTCCCTTTGATGAATCATTGAACGAGTTTCAAATTACCCCTTTGGACATGCGTTGACCTCTGCCAATGCCAAGAAAAGAACTGCAACCTGTTTTTTCTCCACTTAGATTCAGCGAGCAAGTTGAGGTCATTCTTGTCTCATCCTCCCTCTCTCTTCCCCTTTAATGTAATAAAAAAAGTGACTAACAAAGAAACAAACTCCATGGCCATTGAATCACAGCTCCTGGCTCTTTTATTTCTCATTCTTAAGACTAGCTTTGTCTGACTGGACGACTTGTTTTGTTTCTGGAGCATCGAGTGGCATCATTCCTCCCATCATCTCCAATATGTCTAACCTGGAGCATCGAGTGGCATCATTGCAATCAGACTCGCTTTCAAACACACTTTTCACACATGTAAACAGTACGCAGCACTCTGGCGACATGCGCCCACTCAAAACTCAGAGATATGGCTT